GATCATCATCGCCATCACCATTCCCATCCCCATCCCCCCTTTTCCTCCTCGACTCACCATTTGAAACGTCGTCAAATATTTTTTCCACCATATGTATTTTTGATATTTTGGTCCCATCGCGCTAACCATGTAATAGAAATACATGACGATGTGTACGAAAGTGTTGAGAAAAGCGAAGAAAGTGCTGTGGCCGCCTGTGGAAAGAAGAAAAAAAAAAAAAAACGTGAACGTTACAAAAACGGAAATGGATCGTGTGACACACGTGACACGTGTCACGACACGACACGACGACCCAACGCAACTAAAAAATAATAATAATAATAATAATAATAATTCAAATTATAATATATGAATTTAATCATCGCGGCTCGACATTTTTTTCTTTTACATTTTCTCAATGACGTCATCACTAATAGGTAACCCTAGTAGGATTCGATCGTTGTAATTTTTTTATATTTATTACCGTGAACGAATCGACGACTTCCGTTTGATATAATATTATTATTATTATTATTATTTTAAATACACAAATACGAGTATTTGTTACGCGTGAGAAACAACAACAATTTTAACAGAAATAAATAATAATAATAATAAAAAAAAAAAAGAAAAGTGGCAGAAGAAAAGTTCTCCTTTCTTTCTTACTTCCTTCCTTTCTTCCTTCCTTATTAAAACATTCTCTCGTTTATTTTAACTTTCTCTTTTACTTTTAAAATCCTCTCTCGCCTCTTACGTCACACATTTCCCCCTCCCCCTCCCCACCCTTTTAAAATCTGACGTAATAATAATAAATTATCAAACTACAATTTATTTATTTATTTATTTATTATCATTATCAATAAAAAAAAAAAAAAACCATCGGATCATTTTTTTTTTTTGGTTAAACGTACGCACGCACGCACGCACGCACCACCTAAAAGTTTTTACGCGGCGTTTTCTTTATCATTTCAAATGACATAACATTTTTCCTTTTTCTTTTTTCCTTTTTTTCTTTTTTTTTTTTTTTAAGGTATGATTAATTAACGGACAACCGGCCATTTTGATAAATTGTCCATCTCTTATTATTATTATTATCTTATTTACCTTTTTATTTTTAAAATTTTATCGTTGAATAATTTCGATATTACGTAACGATTATTTATTATTATTATTATTATTATTATTATTATTATTATTATTGCGTTACAGACGCGACGCGGGGAACTACGACTTCTACGACTAGTTTGAGAAAAAGTGAAAATTTTATAAGATTAATCACGAAATAATTAATGGCGGCACGCGCGCGTTTTTTTTTTAAAGCGGAAAACTATGGCGTGTCGAATTTAAATAAATAAATAAATACTCACACACGTTTCGATTTGCCATTAATTAATAACAACCTTTAATAATAATAATAATTATAATAAATACTCACCTGGAGCAAATTTAAGACCCAACCAAACGGAAAATGGCATGATACCGTGGTGTATGACGTGAAGATTTGACACTTGACTGTTTTTCTTTCTCAATATGAAGAATAGCTAAAAAAAACCAAAATCAAAAATTATTTTTTAAAGTTTTCAAAACCTAACGCTAATAATAATAATGATGATAATAATGATAATAATAATAATAATAATCAATTGTCATTAAATTCAATCGATTACTAATCAACAGGGTTTCGCGTGACTCCAACAGTGGAATCAAAAAAAAAAAAAAAAAAAAAAAAATTAATAAACGACCGTAAGAAAACGTTAACGAGCGAGCGAGCGAGCGAGCGAATAATAATAATAATAAATGAAAAATCGAAACAAGGGTGGGTAGGAGGGGAGAGGGAGGGATGGTAAAAACATTTAAATTACTCACCGTGTCGAAAAATTCCGTAAATTTAGAAAAATAATACCACCAACACGTGTTGGCCATTCTCATCGCTTTAGGATTATACGAATAATCAACAGGTTGACATCTAAAACTATATCCGGTAAACCAACCGCTTTGAATGTACTAAAATAAAATAAAATAAAATAAAATTAAGTTTAATTAGATTTTAAGTGATGTTAATAATAATAATAATAATGATGATAATGATAATAAAAAAATGCACCACGTGGGACGACCCCCATTTTAAAATTTTAATTAAAACCAACACAACTCCAAGATTCGAATGTGTTTCCTTAGGAAATCATTTGAATTCTCACAACCGGAATGGATGAAAAAAAAAATCCCTTACGTCATCATCGTACTAACACTAATAATAATAATAACAATGATGATGATGATGATGATGATGATGATAAAATTAATTTTTAAAACGTGGGGAAGGGGGGCGAGTTTTCATTCGATTGTGTTATCATCGATGATGCTCCCAAATAATAACCGTTAGAATACAAATTGTCAAACTTTACCGTCATTTTTTCGGTCAGTGAACCTAGGTCAAGTTTGGTCACAATTATATTTATATGTGTGTGAGAGAGACAGAGAGAGAGCGTACATATTAAATTTTTTTTTTTTTGTTGTAACGAACTTTGATCGACAAACTTGTTACGTTTTAACGTTTTTTTAAATTTTTTTTTTTTTTATTTATATTTTTGCAAATCCTATTTTGAAACAAAAAGATGGCGATTCGATGGGCGGGGTGGG